ACCAACAGAGATATACAGAGTTATACTCAGCCAAATGGATGTGCAGCCCTTGTAGTCACCAGCAGAGCAGTCCTCAGGAGCAGGAGGAACCCCAGCAGGACACCAGAACAGCAACCCCACAGCAGCTCCCCCTCCTCAGCAAACCTTCCCCCTTTATAACGACCACGACATCACGGTACGGGCTACACCTCCAGCCAGCTCAGGTCAGCTGCCCTGGCTGACTCCAAACTGCCCACAGGCTGCCTGGCACGGCTGGGCTGGGGTTCTGTCCCAGCCACACCAGGACACTGGTTTTGGTTCTCACAGCTTTTAGGTAACTTAATTCCTAGTATAAAGTGCAAAACTGAGGTCTGAAGTGGCTGATGGTGACAGTAGCTGGGGAAGAAGTACTCTTTCTCAACTCCTGTTTAAGGATGTTCTCCCCTGGGGAGAAAAGGTGCAGGCTAAAAACCAGCTGGTTTGCTCTTAGAATACAAGATGTTATGAGCAAACACCAAGATTTTCCTTAACTGCTTCAGTTTTGCCAGTCCAATATTGCACACTCCCGGGACAGCCCAGATTGGGGAAGGAATAGAGAACTCCTGGGGAGACCTTGAGGAATCTGAGAAGGAAGAAGTGGTGGAAGAGGAAGGTGAAAGTGAGGCTGCTGCTTTTGAATGTCAGAAAATGGAAACTGAGGATACAAGTACAATGAGGGAAACTAAGAAAGGTAAGTATTTATCTTGATATCAGATATGCTTATATCACTTTATTAATAAGTCTAGAAGTAAAATATGGAAGAATTCTCCTTGACAAGAAAGGAGAACCATTGTAGCCACGTTCCACGTAGAGTTAGACTCATTTGCCTCTTTCTGTTCACCTGGTCACTTCTGTTTTTTCCAAAGAAAACTTGGTTTCTGTAGTGTCTGGAGGGCTCCGAATGAAACACTGGCCACTCTGAATGTGTCTTTAAAAATGCTGTGGTGGTTAGTTACAGTTGTTTGTACAACACTGATCACCAGGTGGTAGGGTTGGTTTTTTGCTTGTTTTTTTCTCAGATGAACCTATTGTACTGTCTGACAGTGAAGAGGAAGAAGTTGTCATTCTGGAACCGGAGGAGCTACCGAAGAGAACAAGGTAACCATCGTGTGAAAGCAGGAGGGGAGTTTGTAAGGGGTATTTTCAGGAAGCGCAGGATTTTGGCAAGGCCAGGAAAGGTCTCAGTGGCCAAGGGGACTACGGAGATAGCCGGGAGCAAGGGGGTTTAAATCCGGGCTAGCTTGCTCCTGTCCCAGGGGCCGGTCGTCCTGGCTGTGCTGCCGCTCTCCGAACCTGTTACAGGTATGTGACTAATCTTAATCCTTCCAAAGGGAGCGAGAGCATAAAAGTGAGTTTGAATCAGCTGCTCCTTGGAGCTGCTGCAGGGATTCTACATGCTACACTACAGCTAACCTCAGGTGTTTCGGTGCCGAGCAGCGAGAGGGAGTGCTGCCCCCCTGCTCGAGCCACGGCAGCCCTCGCCGTCGCTTCGTACAGAGACCGGGTTTGAACGTGGCGCTGAGCGCGGTGGGTGGTCGCCCTGTTAGGGATGATCAGCCCCTGTTCTTTTGAAAGAAAACTATTCACTAAGTTTCTTTGATACAAATGGTGTTTGCTCACAGAACACAGCCCAACTCGAAACAAGAAAATACTGCAAGTAAGAAAGCATTTAACAAAAGGAGAAAAAAGAAGAGAGCTGCTCACTAAAGTCATCCACCCTCCTTCAGAAATGCTGTATAATGCCTCATTTGGTCTATCATTACTGAACTTAATTTTGTAGATAATGTTATTTCCTCCCACCCCGGGTCTGCTCTTGCTTTTATGTATATTTTCTGACACAGCTTTAAATAAATTAAAAAAAAACCCTGCATGTAAGTGAAATTCCATGGTTAGCATCTGGCTGCAGCTAGCTAGTTCAGCTTGAACACGTTCTACAGTTTGAATTGCAGGGGTAAGAGGTGTAGTGTCTTAACAAAAGAGCCTCTGCCAGTACTGAAGTGAGCTGGGCATAGTCCGTGTTCAGGGGTAAAAAGGAATTGTGACTCAAATTCAGCGCCAGGAAAAGCTGCTTTTACTTAAGGTGGCTAGTCTTACGCCCTGGAAGTGTTTCATACCTTGGGATGTTCCTCACAGGGGGAAGGGGGGGCTGTGACTGAGACCATCTTGCCTTTCACTGAAACGGCTTTGTATAAACCCCAACAACTGCCTGTACTTAACAAACCAGCATAGAACTTCTGCAAAACTTTCAGAGAGAAGCAACTCAGACTTCAGCAATGGAGTTTCTGAAAAAGTTTAATTAAATATTACATGCAACAGACAGGAATGCTTCTTAAACTATATGCAAAGAATCATGCTCTGAATTTAGAAGCGGGCAAAAGAGATGAGGCGGTTTCCAAAATACCTGACCTAGCCGCTGCGTTCAGAAACCAAGTCACCTTGGAAACGTGCACATATTTACAAGAGCAAAGTAGGGCTATTTTACAGGTCACGGTCGTTGTTTCATGAAATACAAACAGAAGTTACTGTTGCAGGTATTACATTCCCCAATTTTGGTTTAGAATTTAATGTAAAAAACCCCCAAACAAACTACTCCTTCCCGCTGAGCAAAGCTTTGATCAAGTTGTGCCCTTTCAGAAAGGGACAAACACGGAAAGCCCCATTCCTCCAGGAGCCAAACCCGTGCGTTGTCTTAGTGTCAGTTCTTCCACCCCAGAGTCACCGTCGGCAGTACAAGAGCGAGTGAAGATTCCGTTTCTTCTTACTTCCGCAGTACCACGAGACCTTAAACCTCCTCAGGAAACCTCCTCTTCGCACTGCTGTTTCTCACTTCTTCACGCACCCCTCCCACCTTGCGTTCCTCTAAAGGTTTTATTTTGGAAGGACTAGAAGTTAAACTGGATGGGCAAAGCCAGTAGTACAGTACAACCGGGGTATTTTGCTCAAAGCTTAGTACAAGCGCTGGACTCCTCCCATCCTGACTTTGGGAAAGGAGAAGATGGTACTTCTGCAGCACCAAGAGCTGTGGGTGAGGCAGAAGGAACACAGACACTGGGCAGAGGTGCTACCCCGTGACTGAGCCAGTTTTTAGGCTGTAGGTGAAGTCACATCGGTGTGTTGAAAGTAAAGCTCAGAGAGACTTTTTCTCCGCGCTATGCCAACAGCAACAGAAAAACTTCCCATGAAAACAGAGCAAGGAGGCATTTCATTAGGCAGTAAATTAATACTCTAAACCCACTGAAGTCCTTTCACTTCAGTGCTGTTACTTGCTCTTTTCTGGAGAAAATAATTCATAAGCTCCCTTTAAATTACTCCTTTTCCAATGTTCGTATTTCTCCATGATCTTGGAAAGTTTCCAGCACACCCCACAAAGAAGGGGAAAGCAGAACCCAGTGCTGTGCTCTAGTCTTCAAAGAATAACCGCCAGGCAGCGTTGGAGTCGCCCTGCCAAGGTCACAAACTGATGCTGTGACTGTGGCAAATGTGTCCCTGCATCTACAAACACCCCCTCCAGACGGGCAGAACATTCCCCGGACTATGCACCAGACATGATAACACTGTGCAGGTTTTTTTTTCTCCCCCCAACTACTTTTCTAGCTTTTAAGCGGCAACCTACCGAATGAAGCGAAGTAGAGGCTGCTGCAGAACGTGGTAGCCTGATGAAATACGGTTCTTCGTTAAACACCAGAACATGTATACACCAGAACATGTATAAAAGTCAAAGTGCATCCTAAAAAGCTCAGATTAGCCAAAAAAAAGGCAGCTTCTGCTGCCTGCTCTTCACTGGATAAGCCACCACCACTTGACTCGATCAGTTTGGTAACCAAGTTGGTTCATGGAGGGCAGAACAGCAAGTTTTTAGTTACCGAGGCGAGATGTGCGAGTGGTCTCACTGTAACCCGTCCTTGTCGGCAGGCTGGTGGGTTTTTTTAAATATACTTTAAACAGCCCACACGGTAACAGCTGTTCAACGCCTGTGAAGAATTGACACTGTGACCTGCTGGGTGCCCAGATAACCAGACGGGCAGTGTTGAATCGGCTTCAGGTTGGAGCGGCACAGCTTTCACAGCTTTTCGCTTGCCAAAAAGCTTTAGGAATGCGTGCTGGTTTAAGGTGACAGTACTGCCCCTCCAGGGGTTTCAAGGTATTGGCGAGACCACTAACATCAGAGGTAAGAGTTGTTTATTAGCCAGCCTGGAAATGGTTTAACGAAACCCACTTCCACGCACTCCCTGCTTCACATGCAAACAACAGCAGGTCCAGGGCAGCATCTCTGCATTTACACAGGCTGAAGGCCAACACCCACTTGGTCTAATGCCAAAATTGTGCTAGTTGGCTCATCTAACGGTTCTAGAACCAAGGGGAAAATAAGACCAGCTGGCCTACGTTTATGCCACAAAGGAGCCCTTTCCAAGTAAGAGGGATGTGCAGAATTCGTACTGTACCGCACGTAGCCCATCCAGGCCAGAAGACGTTCCCTCCTCTCGAGGGCACAGGGCCACGGTTCAGTCCCTCCACCACCCCTGAAGAGGTACTAGGTAAGCAGATCGGTAACTACAGTTTTTTAGTAGGCATCGATGGGCTTTCAGAATGGCTAACGCATCGGTGGGAACTCCGTGGGTTTCAAGTATTATCAGTTTTACTCTTTGACTAGCAAATACCTGTAGCAAGACCATTTTCTGTGCCCTGGAAGAGGGAAGTATGAACAGGTATATGCTAGTTCTAGCCGCACAGTCCCTGCAGCGGGGGCGTTCAACCTGGCGGAGGTCTGGCAATACATCACATCACAGTCCAGGTTTCCAGTCACTGGCACATGCTAAAGAGCCTCACAAAAGTCCAGCAAGGTGTTCTCCTCATCGCTGGATAGCTTCTTCCAGTATTAGAGTCGTTAAACCACATTTTGGATCTATACTAAGTCTCGGTTTAAACTAGACAGTATAAAAATGCTACAAATACTGCTGTGGAGTCCCAAGTCACTCTTACTTGGAAGGAGGAAAAGCCCCACTCTAATAATGCACTGCTAATGTTAATGTTTAGTCTATAATTAGATAAGCAGTCTGAGACTTCACTTGGTCTGTTAATTCTGTGCTCAAAGAGAATGTTTTTATAATACCCCAGCTAAATATTTTAACAGGATCGCATGTACAAAAGATTTACATTAAAACCACATAAAAACTAACTTCATAATTAAGCTCATCAAAACCTGTATTCATATTCTGAGTGATCACATCTAGAATTTTGAACCATGTTTAAAACTGTACATCATTTTCTTGTAATATACATCTTTTTAAAGGATCAGTCTCTTGATTATTACAACAAGTTTAGTGTCTCTGGTGGGTCAATAAGCGATACTCCATGGTACCTAGAGAGGGAAAAAAAGACGCAGGATGTCACCTCGCTCAAGCGCTCTCTGCACGCACACTGCAGCAAAGCATGTTTCTCACAAGGCAGGAAACATCTGGGGGCTCGCCAGCTGCCGTGCCAACACAGATTTTTAGGAGCATTAGGTGCCACCTCCTGCCTACAGCCGTAGGAACGTCAAAGAACACCCTCCAGTTTCTCCCCGGCAGCCCAGGCAGTGACAGCAGGCCTGGTGACCAAGACGAAGTAGTGCCCAACAAAACGTTGTGCAAAAGCCTGGGGAGCCTTGTCACACTCGTTTCCCTTCCGTGGTAGATTTGGTTGGCTGAGTCTGGCTGAAGACTCCAGATGCGGCCCCCCCCGCCCCCAAGCAGTAAGCGGTTACACGCTGCCACGACGCGGGTGTAACGCACCGGCTTGTCACACGCCTCCACACATACTCACTTTGTACTCTTGTACTTTTCCCTTATGGACTGTTGCGTGTGCTGTGCTGCTCTGAGGTAGGTCTTGTGTAGGTCCATGAGGCAAGGCTTGATGTCTTCAAGGGTGTAGCCTGTTACTTTGCACAGGGATTCAGGCTGAGGGAAAAAGGAAAGGAAGAGGGACATGGGAGTTTTTAGGTTCCTGTTGAAACTCTGTTGTGCTAGTAGGTTGGCAGAGCATCGTTTTCTCAAGCGCAAAGTAGTTTAATACTCACTGCTCAGACTTTAGCAGTTCACTTCAGCAGTAATCCTGAAAATTACGATTTTCTAAACAAGTATTCCTTGCCTCCAGCTTTTCGGCTTTCTTACCGCCCACTTCCTCATCGCAAGGAAGCTGCTTACAGCTTTGAGAAGGGAGTGCAACAGTAGGTGCCTCTTCCCTCCAAGAAAAGGGGGGTGTGTATCCCCCACCCCATTTTTCAAATACCATAGGGAGCGAGATCCCTAATTAACAGCCGAGGAGTGCGGAGGGGCTGCGCCTCCCGCAGCCCAGCCCCAGCACTCGGAGCCGCGTACGGATTTCCTCCACGGGCCGAAAGGCGCGTGAAGGCTCACGCGTCCGTGCTACGTACCCAGGTTTGGCCGGTGACCGTGTAGCCCGCGAGGTGAAACGCGGCAGCAGCAATGACCGATGGCAAGTATTTCAGGTACGGATCTGCATCAATTAGACTGAGCTCCCCAAGGTACTGCAAGGGAAACGAGAGACAGGGAATCACCTGCTTCCACAAGGAAGTAGAAGAGCCTTTAACAGCTGCACTAGAACCCTCGCTTAAGCTTCCAATCCTGCCACCAGTTGGAGGAAAAGCTTTTACTAGTTTCCACTCACTTTCTCTTTTAGCATCTACTGTTAGCTGCTGTCAAACAGCGTTCCAACACATGCTTTTTCAACATGTTCTGTTCAGAGGTGTATAAGATCTGGAGGGAAGAGTGTAGTCAGGCCTGACCTTTGCACAACGACACAAAGGCTTCTGTGGAGGAGCTCTGTTACCTTCCACACAGTTAGGATTGAACATAACTTTGGCAGAAACCTTATCTGTGCTCTGCTTTGGAAATGAGCCTCCGGATTTAGAGCTCGCTGCTTGTCGAGGAGAAAACCCAAACAAAAGTCCTTTCTAGCAGCCAGAGCGGGTGGGTTGGTCTGGCAGTTTTAGATAAGAAAGAGAGAAACAACTAGCACTGAAACAAACCCACATTAAAGTTCTTCAATCTCTGCCTGCTCTTGAGTAAGTGTGTGTGCCTGAGCCAGGCCAAGTGCCTCTCCAACAGTCAGTGGCAACGGGAGCGTTAGTCGCCCCGCTTCTGGAGGGGCACGTGTCATGCTGTGAGCACCTTTCGGAACTTTCCCAGAGAGACAATGCACTGAAAACCAGGAGGAGGCAGAGAAGCCTGGACTGAAGAATCCCTTCACATTTATTTTCTGTTCTGCTGGGATTAGGAAACAGCGCTTGTGAAGTGCCTTAACAAACAGTAACAGAACTCTCCAGCTGCACGGGCCGAGCTAGTAATCCTTACGTACCATCGACAGGCTCTCCACTTTAGCGTTTGTCTGCTGGTGGAGGAAATACTGAGTGAGGAACTGGTTGATTGTTGGAGCTGCCAAGTCAAACGACAAAACCTTCAAAATTAAGTGCTCCATCCTTAGAACCTGCTTCTTGGTATAGGTGTCATCTGTGATGTAGACAAACTCTGCTACTTCAGGAGGGTAGATTTCTTCAAATTTTCTGCCAGGAGAAATAGTTATGAGCAAATAATTGAGTACGAGAAAACCAGACAACCAGCGACATGTAATGAAAGCCAGTGCACTGATTTAAATCCTGACCTGTGAAGCAGCTGGGCGCTGTTACCGAACAAGTTTGCTGCACTTGGTTCGGCAGCTCTTGAATCAGCAGACTTTGAAATTTCAGAGCCACAACAGCCTGGTATTTTAGCACTCAGCAATTCGGGACTCAGAGTTACTGAAATCCCAGAAGAACCCACTAAACTAACGATTGGTGCAAGAAAACCTTTCTTTTCCCATGCCTTGTGCACATTCCCTCAAATACCGTTTAGAAGCTGCCTGCTGCTGCAGCTAGAAATAATGCATCCTCCCGTTAGGGCAGTCTGGACAGCCGGCCTAGAAGCTTGCTCGCAGAGTTTCACACAAACTGCCAAGCTTTTAGGGGGCTAACTCCCGGTTTTTCTGCTAGTGTGAAGCCCTCCTGAGTCAGTTGGGCTGTAAGCAACAGAACTGCGATAGCCACAAGATTTCCATCAGCATGAGACCAGCAGGTGGAATTTTCAAGGAAGCCATTTCACTTACGATGCAAGCAGCATAGCTGCAGTGCCCACAAGCTGAAGTTTTCCTCTCAAAACAGACATCGAAGAAAGAAACCTGTCAATGTAATTTACAGCTAAGTGCAGGGTTTCGTTCTGTAATTTGTATTCTTCTCCAACTTCCACCAGCCAGTCCACGAGAATAGCCCGCATGTTGTTTGTGATATCAGGTTGCTTCTTCATGTAACCCATTTTAGGCTTGCATTTCACCTGTAGGTTGCAATGACAGATAAGATGGAGGTTAGACTAAGTGCCGGTAGGGAAGCAACTGTTCAAGCTCCATTTACCACAGCTTAAACTTATTTACTACAGTTTAAACTTCAGACCAGAAGTAAACAGCAGTAAGTCTAGGATCTGTAAGTTGTCTTTCCATAATCTTGCTTTCCAGCTTCTGTTCAGTGCAGGGCACAATCAACTTGGTCACAAGAAAACAGTCTTGTGTTTGCAGCAGTGGACACAACATCTTATTTCTCTGTTTCTAGCAAGCTTTAATCTAGTCACTGTAGTAGTAACTAATGTTGACCACACATTGCTGAGCCCCAAATTTCTCCCCCATAAGCTGTATGCAAATCAGAAGAGAGACAGCGGCTCACCTCCATTTCCCTAAGGTACGTATGGATATCGCTGATATAGTCTGGCACGTTATTAACGTTTGGTTTTCTCTCTTCTTCTTCTGAGGTGATCGAAATATCCATAATACTTGGAGAATCTAAGCAGAAGATAATAGCCATGTCAAAATGGGCACCATCAGACCCCTCCCTCACAGCACGGGGAACAGAGGGCAGACTATCACTCAGCTAAACTGGGAGTTGAGGAGGCTCTAGGGAAACAAAAGTGTTTCTGCAACAGGGAAGCATCCCACTCCCCTTTCTCTTCATCCCCCTAACCATAAAGGGATGGAAAACTTTTGTAATTATGTAGTGCTCCTGCATCACCTTGTCGCACAGATGTGAATCCTGCAAGCTTAGCTTAAACCAGGGCTGGAGTAGCAGAGTTTTTATAGCCTGCAGAAAGGGACCGTGATGAAATCAGCCCTCAGGTATTCATGCACGTGTTACAGAAGATGGATGCAACAGCTCCCATTTCTTACATAGTGGGAAATGCTCAACACACTTGCACCAGTACAGGGTATTACCTGGAAGAAAAGCCTATCAAGTCTCAGGATCTGCCTAAGTCCCCTTCTAATTCTATAGCGGTAGGAAATAGTGAGGCTTTAAGGGCTGCTGTTGCATGTAAACTGGTTTCTCTTGTGAGGTACTGATAGCTAAAGTTAAAAGCATAGAACTACCTACAAAAAGCAGGGGACAGAAGCTTAAAGGCTCAAGGAATCAATAGGTCAGCTAGACTGAAAAACTGTTGTATTGTAACGGCAGGCTCCAATCGGTTTCAGCAACTGAAAAGGTATCTTCTGAGTCGAACCAAACCCATCTATGTCCCAAACAGCTTCGGGATCTACAGCCCTCCTCCAGTTTGCTCTGGAAGTCATCCCCCCGGTAACACCTCGGCACAATCCTGCTCGCCTCCACGCTTCCTGGGGGCAGGGCCCTGCAGACTCGGGCGCTGCCCAGGGCCGCAGCAGAGGGAGCAGTGGCGGGATGGGGCCTACCGGAGCCCCCCAAGAGCCGCGGG